AGTGAATTCGGCCAAGCCTTGTAAGAGAGGCTGGGTTGAACCCATGTGGCTGATGTGTAGATCAATGTTTGGGTCCCACGCCATACAAGGATAACCAACTGGGCAGCAGATTGAGGGGCTAGTGAGCAGATAGACTTAATGGGCCTAAAGCCCAATTCGAACTGGCTTAATGAGATTAATTAAAAGAGGGTGGTTCTGGAGCAGATAGGATAAGGGATTATCCCTATCCACTCAGAGTCCAGATCCAAATAAAGATTTGGATCAGTAAACTCCTAATTAGATTAGGAAGGCTGATCTTTATTTGCATATAAGATAAGGGATTATCCTTATCTCTTAAAGAGAGTCCATATCCAAATAAAAGATTTGGATTAGGAAACTCCTAATGGGATTAGGAGAACCTCTCTTTAAGGCTATAAATAGAAGAGCAGGGCGACCCTCAAAATCATCTAACAGACTACTGAATTCTAGAGAGAGACAACACAGTTTGACTGCACTATCTCCTCTCTTGCTCTTGCCGCCATACCAGATCGATCTCCACCTGTGAGAGCGATCAAGAAAGGTTCTTGATATTACCCTTTGGTAGAAAAGGTAATCTGAAGTCATGCTCACTAGCCCTCCATCACATTCTTGCTAAAGAATTTGGTTCTTGCTGAAGAGCCGTCCTGCTGATTCTGCTTCATCCTGCATCGTGTCATCTTCGGTGGAAGCAATCTTGGGATTTTTCCTTGGGCGTGAACACCTTCATTGGAGGTTATTATTACTTCGTATCAGGCATATCCCTCCACTCCCTTTTGGTTTCAGATCTGGTTCGGTTTGGTTTCAAAATTGATCCTTGAAAATACAGTTTTCTAAAATAGGGAATGCGATTCCTACCTGGGAGAGAAATTTTTGAAATTTCGCCCAACCTTCCTACAGGCTTCGGCCATCCATATGATGGATCTCTCATCCCTTCACTGATGTGGTCCCCATAGAGTTCGTATGGCAGCAATATTTCTGTTAGATATGACAGTGTTAGTTGGTAGTTATTTCAGCTTTATTATTAGTTATTTCTTATTCTATTTGCCATGTAAGAAATAAGGGTAATTCAGCCCTTTTACAGTTAGCCAATAGTTATAAATACTAAGAGAGGGTCGACAGAAATTATGACCTACTCTCTCTTTTCTGAAACTCTCTTCATGTACTTCTTTTCTTCCTCTCCTCTCTTCTTCTTCTCTCCAATTTTTTCATCCTTTTTTTCTTTTAATTCAAGACTGATTGTAGTCTAGATCGACTACTTGATATCAGAGCCGACCTAGGAGCTCTTATGCTAGTCTGATTAGGTCGACTACATGAGAACCACCTAGATTTGGAAGTTTTTCAACAAGGAAGGAGGATTGGCTGATTCTTGGAGGTTACTGGTAGTGTGCGGCTGCTACTAAAGAGATTGTAGAAGTCTGGGAGAGTTCCAGTAGTCAGGAAGAATTAGAAGAAGCTTCGGATCCTCAAGATTAGGGTTTTGCATCAACCAGAAGGTGGCCGCCAGAGATTTTTCCATAAAGTAAGCTTTTTCTTGTGACTCTGTTCAAAAAAGATGATCTTGGTTTAGTCTGAGAGGTGCGGCTTCAGAATTTTTTGTGTTTTCTTTAGGGTTTTGAGAGAAAACCCTAAAAATCCAGAACTGTTATTTGTTTCAGATCGGAATTTGAACTGGTTTCATTCAGAATTTTGTTTTCTGTGTTCTTTGGAAGAACTAGGCCGACTGTTATAAGTTGCTTGGGTGCTATTTCTCCTATTACAGTAGTTAAAAAGTTTTTTTTTTTATTAATTCTTGATCAAGAATGGAGTTCAAGAGTCAAGGGGAAGGTGTTTTTGGGACTAGCAATTCTGGTAACATGTCTGAGAATACCTTTCATATTACAACAGTTAAGTTTGATGGATCAAACTACCTAGAATGGGCTCAATCGACCATGATGGCCATTGGGGGTGGGGGAAAACTGAGCTACTTGTTGGGAGATGCGAAAGAATCAACTAAGGATGACCAAACCTATACCAAATGGGTTCAAGAGAACTATTTGGTTATGACATGGTTGTGCAACTCTATGCAGCCACATTTCAGCCGGAACTATTTGTGGGCGAAAACAGCTAAAGAAATCTGGGATGTCATGAAAGAGACCTACTCCCAACCCCTTAATGTTGCTAGGACTTATGAACTGAAATGTGAGGTTAACAACCTTAACCAATGAGAGAAATCGGTCTCGGTTTACTTCTCTAACACTGAAATCTTTGTGGCATGAAATTGACCACCTAGAAACACTTGAGTGGGAAAGCCAGAAGGATGCACAAACTCATAAAAAGCAGGTTGAGACTATTAGGGTTTTTGAGTTCCTAGCTGGTTTGAATCCTAAGTATGATATTGTGAGACAACAACTACTGACAAGAGACAATGTGACCCTATCACAAGCCTACTCCTTAGTGCACAGTAAAGAGACTAGGAGAAAGGTTATAATGCAGCATCAGCCCTTCCCACCAGCCTTGGCAGCAGTCAAGCCTAAGTCCGGGGGTGATACGGAGAGGGGTATAAAGAAGGAAGACAAGCGGGATCTAGTATGTGAACATTGCAAGAAACCCAAGCATACTAAAGACACCTGTTGGAAGCTGCACCCTCATTTAGTCCTAGCAAAACTCAGGAACAAAAGGGGTAATGCTAATATGGCTGTTAATACTGATTGTGCCTCTTCATCTAGCCCAAAATGCACACCCCTAGACACCCTAGCTGCTGCCCGGGCTGCCCTGACTCAATTGGAAAAGGAAGTTGGCAATTCAGCTCTATCATTTCAGCCACCATCAGCTTTTGCTCATTCAGGTACTTAGGCCTCAGCTTATCATGCTTCAGCTCCAGGTAACACTGAACATTGTTGGGTAACAGACTAAGGTGCATCTGACCATATGACTGGCTTGCCATCACTGTTCACTACCTATCACTTATCTTCTAGCAGAGATAAGGTGTCCATTGCTGATGGTTCCCTTGTTCCCATTTTTGGCAAGGGAGAC